CAATGACAGGATTCAATCTACTTACTTACAATTCTTTATTCCACTGAAGTGGCAAATAATCTTACGACCCAGTTGACTATGAACGGTTGCTATAGCCTATGAACGCCTGTCATACCAAGGGGAATTACATGCGTGTTTCCGACTTTGAATAAATTAATAACGACGCGCGTGATATCCTTGGTGTTATAGGCTACAGTATTCCCGTTTACCACCAAATGGGCCGTATGTTTCTTTGCCACCATAGTTATATAAAAAAAAAATTAAAAAGACAAAACAATTATACAAATAAAATTATAATTATTCAATGCATAGAATATATATAGGAAAAATGAAATGATCTTAATTAGAGTAATAGAAGCCAATATATTTATTTTTAGAATTTTTGTCTGTCTATCTGTTTACATATTTGTTCCAGTATTATTCAGTTACAGTTTAATTCTGAAGGCTGAGTTTAAAATTATCTTATTACCTTCACAATAGTGGTTTATTTCATTGGTTTTCCATAATCATATCACGGTCAAATACTACTTCATAACAATATTGTTATTGAACTCAAAATGAACAAATCCATACACCGCTTGACTCGAAACGAAAGCGAGTCGTTACTTGTGTCAAGGACGAAATCGATTTTAATCGGCCACTCGGCTGCCTGAAGTGCACACTCGAATTTGAAAATCGTATTTACCGTCAACTCGATACCAAGTATCGAATGGATAGAATGATGAGAAATGTCGGATCGAAAGCAACCTTTCTGTATTCAAAGGGTTACCCAAGGCTATTTATATAGCCACACTCATATTGTGAAACTAAGAAATGACGATCAATGTTACAAAACGATGTCATGATTTTATCTTAGTATAACAAAAGTTAATTAAATAATAATTATTATTATAACACTATAATTAATATTTTGTTACATATATAATGGACTCACCATGTTTGCCGTTATTGTTCATCCGGAATTAAAAGCGACGTAAAGCGCCATACGCCCCCTAAAGAAGACTTTTGGATGAAGTCGAAACAATTGTCGAAAACGGCAAACACGGTGAGTTCGTTAATCTTGCGTTATATATGTATACAGACATCGTATTAAAAAAAAAAAACATAACTTTTAATAATAATCTTTGTTATATAATATTATATCTTATTTAATTAAACTGAAAAGTTATACCTTCAAACTGAATGAGTTGAGAACATGCTTGTCCTTTTTATTAAATCCTCTTGTTAAACAACTTGACCAATTCCTTTCGTTATTGGAGTAAATTTACATTGTTTACTTAATTTAACTATTTTACTAATATAACATATGTATGTATATGTAAATTTAACTTTATAATCTTTTGTTGCTAAGTTTTATTTTAATATTTTAGTATATTTAGAAACTAATCGTTATTCAGTGATATCAAATCTTATAGTTGATACTGCCAATAACTGTCATTGTCAGCATTAAAATCATTTAAAAATTAAAATAACATATAATTAATATATTATACAAAATACAGTTAATTAAAAAAAAAGTAGCCCTTTATTTGTATTAATTCTAATATAAAAGTTATATAACATTGGAAGCTATATGGAAATACAACGCATCTCTCACCCGACGTTTCAGGGCAGAATTATACAAAATTTCATTTATGTTTAATCTCTTTTATCCAAAGAACAAAATAATGTATTATGGTTAACATTAGCATATTTTGATTTTATATCGTATTTTCCTTTGTTTCATATAATTTCATACAGCTAACATACAATGCATTTTGGAAGTTATTCCATAACGCTCACTTTCACTTGAAGCGATTTTCCTCGAATTTCCATTACGCTTTGTTCCTCGTATGAGCTGAATAAAATTTATTTGTATCTCTTAAAAGACGTCTTTATTTAAAAACTCTGGCTGATTCAAAATAATTTCGCTACTTCTTTATTTTATAAAATAATCAGTCTTTCCTGCAATTTTATAAGAAGTGATATAAACTAACACATATTCATAGTAATATATCAATCAAAATTCAAATTTGTAAAATTACGTTTATTTATTACGTTTAGTTACTGTTTCAACAGAACTTAATGATGTTAGTAACAAATTCATACAATTGATCAAACCAATTAATCGATTTTTTATTTGTCCTTCCATCAGGTGGGTTAACAGCTTGTTTGCCATTCTAAGTTGCATAATAAAAAAATTATTAGATATTCACTCAGTATTTCCCTGATGCTGTTAATCGCATAATGTGGAGACGCATCAAATGCACAAGCAAGAAGAAAATATGGTAATCTGTCCACTGCTGAACATAGGCCTCCCCCATAGACTGCCATAAGGAACAGTCCTGAGCCACCTGTATCCACTGACTCTGTAAAATTCATTTGAAGTCGTCACTCCATCTGGTCTATACTGCATTTGCCCGTACGGGGTTTCCATTCAAGAACCTGTCTTCCACGTCGGTTGTCAATCCTTCGAACTATATGACCAGCCCTTTGCCATTTCAATTTGCTTATTCTTTAAGACTATGTCGATCACTTTAGTCCTTTTGCAGATATTCTTATTTCAGATTCTATCACGCAAAGAAACTCTGAACACAGCCCTATCCATAGCTCGCTGAATAACTTGAAGCTTTAATAAACGAACAACCGTGTGGATCATGTGTAGTTTTATGAATATTACATCACAAATATGTATTTAGAACACAAAATTGCATCTACAAATAGTTTTCTCTTCACAGTAAGCAGGATTTTGGTCCGCATAGAAAAAAAGAAAATTAATATTGGACCAGCACGAGAATTTACTTCCTAGTTTTTCTTTGGAAATCGAATTATTTTTTCTCAGAATGAGCGGCTTCGAGTAGTATCTATCTTATTGTATTATGATAATTAGTTTATGAGTTCCAGGAGGTTGTAGGGACAAATAGATCAGATACATTCGTAGTTTTACTCGCATTGATGACGATTCCGTGGAAAATATAATTGCAAAAAATAAACACTATTACGACTGTTTCATACAAGAGTGAATAATAATAGATATTAAATCTAATTCCAAACTAAGCAAAGCTTGTACTATAGGAACTGAATGAATGATTGCAATACTTATTTTAATGCATATCTATTACACTGTAAATACCCACACCAATACAAACAGATATGTTCATAATATCAAATAAAGAACTATATTTCGATCCTGAAATTACAAACTTAAAATTATTAAACGAATAAGCAACTTTCTTTTTCAAATTCTACGCTACTATTACAGAAATAAAATAAATAGGCATACCTATTAAGTTTTCGGTAGGTAGATAAAAGCGATACGAGAAAATGAAAAGCTATTTGCTTGAGTGAATTGCATTGTAATCGTTTGATGTTAACTGAAATGCATGTTTCGTATAAAAAGCAAGTGAGTGTACAAAGCAACAATGAATTGTAGTTGGCAATTTGTAGATACAATCCACCATTTTAGCCGAAATGAATTTTACCTTCGCGTAGATTTTCTTTCTTATTTATTTTCGAAACGTGAAATGGGCGCAGTCAAGGCTACATATTCTAAAGCAATTATAAGGGTATTTGTCTTAAACAACATACTATTATATAAGGTAATATCGAAATTACGAGCATTTATTTATTTATTTTATTTATTTGGGATAACAATAGCGTTTTAACTAATTAATTATACATTACACACTTACTAAATGTTAGCCAATTATAATTATCCACAGAGTAATACACAGGCACTCGTTGTGCATACAGACAAACAGTTTTAACAAATATTCTACTAATAAAACTAAACGTTCTTTTTCCCCTTTGCACAAGTTATGATAGTATCACAAAGGTAATGGTTTAAGTACTCAAGGATTGTGGATTCGCCGACACTAAAAACTTTAAGGGTCAATTTAAAGTTTCCACTAACGTCCAAATGACGAAAAACATCATTAATAAATTAATCCCAGAGACAGCGGTAGGCTCGCACTCTGCAATATTGGATTCTAATATGCTCAGCGAAGTGTGGGCATATCGTGATTCACCATTTACATTCACCGTAACGAAAACATTCGACAACTGTCTCTCTACCCCATCAATTGTATAATCCCCTTTTAATTCGATTTATTAAATTATTCCAAGATTAGAAGGATTAGGAACCTCTTACGTTACGATAATTTTCATTAGAAAACTTTTCCTATTAAAATTTGTAAGATTGCTTCAATAAAGGAGATTTTCCATTCAATATATGGTATTTTGTTTATACAGGTGACATCAAATTGAGTTATTCCTTTTAAGGAGGTGTTCTATCAGAGAAATCAAATATTCATCCGAATGAAACATGAATCGAAAAACGAAAAAAAAATTATACGAGTAGCTTCGCTTAAATATTTTTTTAAAATTTTCACTGTTGTTTTTATAAGAAGTTTTATTAGTTTTATTGTTAAAAGTTTCATAAGCGCACATTATATTTTAATGTAATAACTACCACTTTAACTTACCAAACGTAATTAGATCGAGAAATCTAGACTAGTTTCGGGACCAATTCGGGACTCATAATCATGAGCGGCTGTGGCGCTAGCGCGAGCCTAACTGCGCGCCTCAGCCTGCTGACATTTTTTAGTTTCACTTGTATTTCTGTTTCATAATATATATACCTGTCTGTTCACATTTAAAGCACATTTACCAGAGGGAGACTTTGTACAAAAGTCGATTGCTTGGGTACCTCTGTCCCATTCGTGTTTCAACCGTGAAGCAGTTGTGTTTGCATAACTGTGTTTCGGTTTGAAGGGTGGGATATGGCGTGAATTTACTGGGTACAGAGGAATAACACCTGAGTCCTCAGGAATGGCAACGCATGGGGGGTATCATGGGCGAAACAGCATACTCTGTTATGTCCATGGTACTGCTCATGTCTATAGGCGACGGTTACCACTTTCCATCAGGTGGGCCGTCAGCTTGTTTGCCATTCTAAGTTTTATAAAAAAAAAAAAAAAAAAAAAAAAAAATCAAAGAAAATCACAAATTACATATCTCACCTTGTTAACGTGATCTCTAAGTATGTTGGAGTACACCATGGCCATAGCTTCGAGCGCCATGAATGTCATACAGCCGACTACCCACGGTACTAGGAAAGCGATATTTTCCTGAAAAAATTTATAAAAGTTAAATACTGTTTTTCCAATAAAGCTCGTGAGGTTAATTCCATGCTCTTTTATTCACTCTTATTGGAAAGTAAAAGATACGCATAAATAATAAAATATATAACCATTCCATTATATCCAATATAAAGATACAATAATACAGATAAAACAATCACGTTTCAACAAAAATAAATCCTATATAAAACCGCTTGGCCAGCGACGAGTTTACTCAAGGGTCGACAACGCTCACGTGATACTTCTAATGTTATACAAACTCGTTATCTATGCCACTGTTTACCATACAGCAGACCTTATTGTAATTTATTTATAATTTTATTCATAAAAATATATATCATACCATTTTTTATACAAATATAATTTTTCTCAGTAAATATACCAGAATGGCTACTTCAAAATTCGGTTTCATTTTAGTAGGTACTAAGTAATGAAATTATCAATAAGGGATGTTAAAGAGCTTTTCTTTTTTTGCCCGCTAAAACTTCGTAATTAAGTTAACCTATATAGTAGCTACATCTGAATTTATTTAGTTTTATCAATATTTAATTCAAATCTATACTCATAGATAATTTACATGAGTATTTATAAGATTACTGAGAGCCCTTTGCGTTACCCTTATAAGTGGTTAGTTGCATAATGAACACAAATCTTCCACGACCCATAAAATAATCAGAAACTTCCCATAGAATTGGTAAATTGGGTGAAGGACAGACCTGAACATTACGGAGGATAGAACCCACGAGATTGGGTGACAGCCATTACCACTAAGTGTGCGGCACGTATGGAATGAACGAAAAGACAATTTTTGATACGATTCCTTCCTCGTACAATTTCCTGCGATCCGATGAGATTGGATTAATCTTTTTGTATTGCCGTATCGGTTTTTCGATTATTCTAACAACGTTTGTCGTCGAATGCGTATCTTACACAATACCCATCTTTTTATATAAATAGCGAGTTTATAAGAATTGTTCTTTACAGTCAACTTATGTGCCCTGTCTCAGAAAGTAATCCATTAATTTTTACAAATTAGAAAGCGTATCAGTTTGTATGTTTATTTATTATCTTATCAATTGTCCAAAAATAGGGTTCACTCATTTGTTCCGCAAACAAATTGTTTTTTTTTGTCTAATTTAGAACTAAAGGATAAATGCATTCAGAACTGTCAAAGGTATTACTTTTTTATGCAACTTAAAATGGCAAACATATTACTTGTCCATGATATCTTTCATACGTTGCCATTTCTGAGAAGAATTTCTAAGTTGTTATATCTCTATACCCTGCAATTTTATTGCTATACCACACCCTTTAAATCGAAACACAGTCCTGCAAACACAACTGCTTCACAGCAGAATTACGAATGGGACAGAGGTACCCAAGCAGACGACGTGACACATATATTATTTAAATCTAACGTGACAGGGGGAGCCTACCGCTGTATCTCTTATAAAAATAACAGTAAATATTTTATGATTAGCCACAAGTATTTTTTGTTAACACTGTTTACCAGTACCGAAGTTTTCATTCGTATAGCTAAGATGACAAACAAGTATACGGCCCTTTTACGATGAATTTGTCATCGTAGCCTGCAATATGAGGGCTGTCACGCACGCGTTGCCGTCTCTGCGAGTGAAAGTATGCAATAATTTCACTGCCATAATACCTCACCCTTCAAACCGGAACACTGCGAGGTTCACTGCAGAAATAAATTAGGCAGAAAAACCTTTGTACTAGAAAATTTGTTTAAAAATTTAAATAAAGAAAGTTTTGATATTCATCAAAAGGAATGCTACCACTATTGTTTACTAAATAAACTCAATAGGTATCAATGCTTACTTTACTTTTTAAGGTTTCATAAACTCTAACTCAAACTTTGACTCTGCTCAACGGTATCATAAGCCAGTATCCGGACTTGAATATATATTTTTACTATACTACTTAGAATGGCAAATAAGCTGACGGCCCACCTGATGGAAAGTGGTAATCGTCGCCTATAGACATGAACAGTACCATGGACATAAGAGAGTATACTGTTTCGCCCATGATACCCCCCATGAGATACCATTCCTGAGGACTCAGATGTTATTCCTCTGTACCCAGTAAATTCACGCCATATCCCACCCTTCAAACTGAAACACAGCCATGCAAACACAACTGCTTCACGGTTGAAACACGAATGGGATATATTTACTTGTAAACTTGTCTAGTTTCGCAGAATGGCAATAAATTATTTAAAAATTGTCCAATAATTAAATGTTATTACGTTTGTATAAATAGTGATTGTTACGGGAGCGAATTGGGAAACTGTGAAGCTCCCTTAGTCACTAAAAATAAATAAATAAAGAACGTTAGTACTGTCATAATTCTAACTAAAACTTAAAAGTTTTAAATTAACTAAAAACAATACCCTAGAAGAATTCACAATTTAATATAAAAAAATATATTGAAATTATTAAAGTGATATGAAACGTTTATGTTACTTTTAAACGAATGTACTATATTTTTTTATAGGCAAAAAATAGCAAACAAGCATAAAGTCCGTCTGGTGGTAAACGATCACTGTAGCCAATTGACGCCTGCAACACTAGGGACGTCACGTGTGCGTTGCCGACTATACTATTTTATTTATACTATCATTAATAAATACAAAATCTTAGTCTACGAGTGTTTGTGTAATAAAAGAAAACAATACTCACTTTATAAATCCCATAAAATAGAAATATGCTTAGCACAATCATGAACATCTGTGTTCCTATTATTGCAAAATACGCTATCTGTACACCTGAAACAATTGAAAAGTTTTATTAGCACGAGCATAAAAGTTTATAAACTGCAGCGATTTAACTGCGAAAGGTGTTACGAATTTAGTTTCAGTTAAACTAACACTGTAGTTTGTATATTGTTCTTTAGTAATGGAATGTTAACGTTAACTTTTCACTTTGAGTTATGGACAATTAAGGTTCAATTTATAATAACTCGCTCATAGACCTAAAGCTAGATAAAATTATCATTTGTGTTTTTTTATGGGTGAAAATAGTATGGTAATGGTAACTCCGCCTGCGCTAATGGGATACACTGGCTAAGCAACAGTGAAGGGTGATAGATGAGAATGAAAACAGGCCAGTTAACCCATAATGAAAAATTCATCAGAAATTAACTATGATAGTTTCCAGGGGGAACCGCGAGGAGGTCGACCTGGTTGGGTATATTGCTAGCAATGGGATTCGCAGTCTCCATTACTAACAATCCCTTTCCCCCTATCATTTGTGTTATCCTCATAGATAAATGACAAACGAAGTTATCGATGTTATGCACGTTTACATTACTGCATACACAGACAGGATAAGAAAAATATTGGTGTCTCATTCTTGAGCTTTAATAAACCAATTAAAATATATTTATCAATGAATTCGTTTATCGTTTATTTAAGAAAACAGGCAATCATTGGTTACATAATTTTTATTACTTATTTATTCAGAGACTTTTCTTCTTGAATATTTCGTACTTTCAGATGGCCCATATGGTATAAAAAAAAACCTATGAACTTCCCAATAATCACCATAATAATTGGCATTTTAAACAAACATCAAAAAACAAGGGGAAAAGGAGAGGGCATTTGTTTTTTTGTGTACAAATATTATCCCTAATTATCAGATTTATTTTCCTCCGATATTTATAAATATTCGTAATTTTTAATAGTCCAATACTGATTACAGTACATTTAAAAAATTACAAATGTTTATGATGTAAGCAATCAGAAATTATTAGTATTCGCTATCCTCAAATAATTTCGTCGACAAGCAAAATATTCTCTTTAGACACAAAATTATTTGCTATTTATATTACTAATCAAAATAATTTCTATTTCAGTCGTGGGGAAAAACACGACGGCATTATTGAACATCAATAGTAGAAGTAATACTGGTAATACCAACGAAAATCACTGACGCAGAAAACTAACTACATAGCTGGCACTGGCCTGGCACGTAATCGATTCTAGAGTGAACAAACAAATCGAGTCGGAATCGATCACATCGATTGCCCCAAGGGTATTGCCGAGTTTGTGTTAGAATCTGCTAAACCACGAGCACATGAGTACGGGTGCTACGGTCATGACGCAAGTATGTTAAATAGTTTCTCAAATCGATTAGAGATGAAACAGAAAGTCCTACTAAAAATAATACTAATATAGTATGTGAAAGTTTGTAAAGATGTTTGTCAATCGATTGAGGTTATACGGCTAAACGAATTTAGGTAAATGCAATTTGATATACAGACAGAACGTAGTCAGTAATACTCGTATTATAAATTGATGACCTTTATGGTACAGTAGTAAGTATGTCGCTTTGCATGATCGAGGTCCTGGATTCTATGCTCGATCAAATTAATTTATGGAAACGTACTTTTCTAAATTAGCTCGAGTTTGGGTATTGTGATTTGTGCTCCCAGATTTTTGTTGGGTGGTTCCTCATAACAGAGGGTATCCTGGTTTGAGAAACAGGTAACTGGTGTGATCGTGTGGCACTTATTATTATTACTATGTACTTGTAATTTTACTCTGTACGCGTAGATTTCAGAAGCACTAAAATCAATTAAAGAAACCTTTTAAAGTCTTTTAAGTTTTTAAGACCTTCAGGCAATAGAAGAATTGAAAACTGAATCCAAAATGGTAAACAGAGAAATTATCTAAACATTATTGTTCCTAAAGCTATTTAGACTACCTATTTCAATTTTTCTCAAATATCTCTCATATAAAGTAATGTTATGTATAAAGTTATGTATTATATGTGCATTTCTTATGTATTATATACTGCCTTAATATGTTACTATAATTGTCTTTATCTAATAGTTGGTTAGTAGAGAACGCCATAGGCCTTAAGCTCGCCATTTGTACAAGGTTTTATTATGCAATTAAGAATAAATAAATAAATAAAGATCTATTTACAATTTTATTACATTAGTAAGATTATAAATGTAATTATTAGTAATGCTTTTAGAATGTTTATTACGCATCGCGTTCAAATAGCTAAATGGACTGGTTTAAAATTTGCTATACAAACAGTCGATATCCTACTCGTAGATTATTTTTTTTACAAATTACGCGGCCAGAGCCGTGGATTACAAGCAACGAACAAATAAATAATACTACTAACAGTACCTCCATTCGTTCCCTGGTACGTAATCAATCTGAAATAACAAATAATCGAGAGAGAATCAATCACGTTCATCGTGCGATCATTGTTATTTCGTTACTCTTTACTGAGATCGCATGTGGTTCCCACACGAACGCCCTCTCTTTGATCAATTAACGATAAATCTTTCTGTACCTAATTTGTAACCAATATATAAAAACATGTTATACCTAATATTTGAGAATATTCCTCCAGAAATTCTAGTCGTGATGAGTTTGCTCTTTTATACATTATCATTTCTCTTAGTTATTTTATTTATACTTTATTTTACACAAAGATTAGATTATTATAATTTATCAAAACATATAATGAAATCGTAACTGATCGCTGTCTGTACATGGAAGATATATAAGAAAACTCTTTATAGGGGAGCTTTAAGAACTCAATAGAACCAAAAACAATGATTTTTGCAATTTTTGTCCGTTTGCCTTTACGATTGTGCACGCTATTCTCAAAAACAGCTTAACCGATTTGAACGCGGTTTTTACTAATACGTTGCGGTTTACTCTACTTAACATTTAGTGTTTGTTTTATTTCAATCGGTTTACGAATAAAAAAAGTGATATCAATCTAAAAAATCGCATATAAAATGCTATAAAATAACCGATCAATTGAATTGGCTGTAACTTTATGAAGGTATTAGGTATGTAATTATCATATAAGTATATAATACAAGACCGTATTCATGAAGGGTTCCAACGGGAATAATATATGGGAACATAGAAACGGGCAACGCCGCGGGAAACGGCTAGTTTTAAATAAAGATGTACAACAGGCGAGTTTGACACTGTAAGAGCTCTTTTCCAGCAAACACTGAATGGACCATTAATTACCAGTGAACAGTGTGTGTATAATAAAAAGAGAAGACAGTATGATTGTGATGTTTCTACTAAATAACTATGCTTACGTACCTACTCACACTACATTTATATTCAAATTATTCAGTGAACTATGGAGATGGTTATGCTCGGAGTTTCTTTGGGTAACAGAATTCGAAACAAGGATATCTGCAAAAGAACGTAACCGACATATCCCGAAAGAAAAGCAAGCTGAAGTGGCAATGAGCTAGTCACATAGCTCGAAGGACCAACAATCGATAGGGAAGAAAGGTTCTTGAATGGCGACCCCGTACGGGTAAACGCTGTATAGATACCCCCATTTTTTTAATGCATGATTAATGGAATGATAACCCCGCCTGCGCTAACAGTATATGCTGGCGGGGCACCAGTGAGGGATGATAGGTGAATAATGAAAAAAGCAGGTCAATCAGCCTATCGTGATGAATACACCTGGGATTCAGCACGATGGTTTCCAGGAGGAACCGCGTGGAGGTTGACCTGATAGGGGATGAACCCCCATTAGATGCAGTAACGACCTCAAATACATTACAAGAAGTCAATGGATGCAGGTAGCTCAGGACCATTATGGCAGTCTATGGCGAGGCCTATGTTCAACAGTGGACGGATAATGGCTGAGATGCACTTGGGGGGAAAGGGATTGTTAGTAATGGAGATTGAGAATCCCACTGCTAGTAATATACCCAACCAGGTCGACCTCCTCGCGGTTCCCCCTGGAAACTATCATGGTTAATTCCTGATGAATTCATCATGATGGGCTAACTGGCCTGTTTTCATTCTCATCTATCACCCTTCACTGGTGCTCCGCCAGCGTATCCCGTTAGCGCAGGTGGGGTTACCATACCGTTTTCACCCATCAAAAAAAAAAATGGCTGAGATGACGATGGTAACTTATATTACACTTACTAACTTATATACTCGTACTTAAGTTCTAAATACACAAATATCTAGATAGAAAAATAAATATATACAAAATATTATACGTACTTGTACATACAATAATTATAATAATATATACAAACATAATTGTTTACGAGGACAGTGGATACTCTTTTAATCTACTTTTGAAGATATACTTATTTTATCTTTCTCTAAAAACTAACTCGACTACTATGACAAATTTAATTATGTTACTTTCCATCAGGTGAACCTGATTACTAGACTTAGTTACTAAACTAATCCACGTGACACAGATAGAATCACCTCAACCACATTGGATTCTAACATGTTCGGTAAAAACTGGCTATGTGTGAGTGTGTTACGTTCAACATTACTACATCAGTTACTTTGTGAAATAAAAAAATAAACTTTAATTACAGTATCTCATGTAATATGTTTTCTTAATGTAATTTGCATGTTTAGATTAAGATCACGGGTACGGATGTGAATGCAAAACAGCCAAATCTTAGAGTATCCGGCAGTAAATAGTCTTCCGGTATCATTCGCCGGAAATATGGTAATGAAACGCAAGATACCTACAAAATGTCAGTTTCCCAGTCCGGGGAGAGATGTCGGTCATTATGTATTCAACCACCGAACAGTTCAGTTATATTTAACTAATGTCCCGTGGGGTTAAATAACCCGCATTACATTAATCATCATATTCGCTTTAACATATTTGAACAGTCACCATTTAACCTTCCTAGTTTCGGTTAAATTTGTTAGTGCAATGATAGATATGATAATTGTCCAAATGCCAATGATTCTTGAGTAGGATTCTTATGATAATATTA